GAGATATTAAGATATAATATTTTTATGCATAGAGTTCTTTCACAAATGTTAGATTGTTTTTTGAATCACATTATATACATACAACTACAAACTAGTACCACCACTGATAAGACCCGCTTTCGTATCGGTAGGTACTTGCTTTTGAAAACAGTCGTCTAAGAATTGTGCCATTGATAAATAAAGATGACCCTTTACTCCTGCTAAAGAGTGACTCACATCTGGATAAACCTGTGAAACGAAATACGCATCAGTATTGCAACCAAAATAAAAAATAAAATTTGTCTGCATCGATTGCAAGACAAACGAGCCACAAGTATAATATTCTTTCTCCCTTAAATCATTTTAATAAGTTAAGATTAATACTTCAACTTTCTTAATTTCATTGAATCTTTTTCCGATTTCAAGTTTCACCATTCCATTTTTAAAGGCTTATGTTTTCATCATTCCTTATTATTAAAGGCTTCTGTTTAAAAGATATTTGAATCATACTTTTCTCACCAAAAAAAGAACAGAATTGGATGAAAATGATTTTACAATTAGCCCAATAGGGGATTTATCAATGTTATTTACTCGAGTTAACTTCAAGCATTGTACAGGATGTCCCAAAAACGTTGTAAAATCCTTGGAGAGGGCTTACTGATGCGAGTATGATGAAACCGGTGATTCCTGAAATGATTTAAAGTATCTTTTTTCTTAACGAAGGTGTTCTTCGTAGCTTCGTAATTAACGAAAAACACATATAGTTCTCACACGACAAGAAGGCATCTTTGTGTTCACATTTCCCCACTTACGAGCTGCGGCAGTGGGGCAGCTCGTAAGAGGAAAAATGTAATGTTGGTTTCGTATCGAGTTTTTGGGACACCTTTACTTATTCGTAATAAGAATCATCTAATTTATTTGCCGTTAAAAAATTGAACAAAAGATTTCCAAGCTTTCTGAAATGAGACATTTTATATGCGCTAAGCTAACTACGTAATAAACACATTAATAATAACGAATTTACATTGAAACGATATACCTGTTGTCGAAAAAGTATGCCTTTCTTGGCGAGATGCCGTGCGAGTGCCATTGATTGTTGAAACTGGACATTATCATCAGCTGTACCGTGTACCAAGTAGAACATTTTATCTCGTAAAGATTCAACTTTTTCGTAAACGTCCGATTCTGCGTAACCTTTGTAGTTTGACGTAACAGTTGGCATGCCCATATATCTTTCGGCAAACGCAGAATCTGTGAAAATAGGAAGATTAAATCTTTGCAATCATGCAGAAGCGAAGAGTGATCTGTTACATTGTTAATGAAATGTGGAACGGTTTTGACGCATTCAGAAACGTATGAAATATTATTTTAGAAATAACATACTCAGTTTAAAGATAAAATTTTCACTTTTTGTAATAAATTATGTTTTCAACGAAATGAATTAACATTCGCCTGATCTATTTTTCAATAAAATCGTTACACACTGATCGAAATAGTTGGAAATCATAAATCCATTCTACACATACGCAGGATGAGTCACGCAATTTGCACACATCAATTAAATCATAAATTAGCCGCTTCATGAAAAAAATCGTTAAATACAAAAGTTGATATGACATTGTGTGTCTCCTTTGAAACTATGAAACTTTTGTATTTAACGATTTTCTATTTATTTCAAAATCCAGATATTTAAAAATTTTGCGTTTTAATAAATTAAAAAATATTTGTAACTGATAACATGGTAGTATAATGTGTTTGTGTTTCGAAGAGTTATCGCGTTCTACAGACCTTGCTAAAATGAAATTATATATAACGTAGAAATGTAAATATTAAAATAGCTAGCTCGATGTTTTAGGAAAATGGGCTCTTAGGCCACTTTCAAAATAAACGGCTCAATTATCGCATAATGAGATGAAAAATACATGGCGCCGGCTAAGAAAAACATTAATTACATGCAAATGATCTTCGGAAAAACGTTGATGAAAAGATCTGTTGATATTATATTGACCCTTCCAAACAGCTTTATTTCACTTTTGAAACTTTTCTTTATCCTTTATTCTCTGAAGTACCATGGAAGTACAGTAAAAATTGTACTTACATATCATAATTGTTTGAACATGGTAAATATAAATCGCAGTACACTTTTTTTCTCTGTATAGGTGTATTAAGTACATTCTACTGTTGCGTAATATATTCTAGACATAAATAAATTATATGTATTTATTACTATACCATAGAGTTTCCATGATACAATAGGCGCCAGGCTTATACCACATTGAAATACGTTTCCGTCGGGATGCGCTAGTGCAAGTGCGGCCAAGAAACCCCCGTAGCTCCATCCCCAAATGGCAACCCGTCTTTTGTCCACAAAGTGCAACGAATCCCGTAAGTATCTGCAAACGAGAATGATTAATACGTATGATAATATGCGAACGTTTAATTACATGTTCTGCATATTAATTACACGTGTTAATATACAAAAATATTAATTACTTCTTGGATATACTGTATTGAAACGCCCGAAGATCACGTCGAAGACAATTTATAATTACTTCGAGCGAAAACGAAGTTTTATTTGAAATTACAATATGATTTCTTCCTAGAAATAATCTACTCTCTTTAAAAGTTTTACTTTCCAAATACCCGTGTTCGAATTCTTTTGTTACCCGCTGTATGTATCACTTTGTCCCTACGATCTATTATTAACAATTCTTTTTAATTTACATATTTTTTATAAGACTTTGTTTGCATGATAACATTCTTACAATACTATGTACAGCACTGTTGCGACATAGATATATTAATGAAAAAGTAGTGGGAAAATGATTTGTTAGATACAATAATTTAATGCTATATACTTTCGAGTTTTCTTAACATCAGAACTATCGAACGGGTGAAAATCACTGCTGTCGCAGTTACTGAAATTATTAAAATGGTTCTATGAAAAGATTTTGATAAACTTCTTTATTCAAACAGGTATTATAAATGGACACCGTATCTTTATGCAACATAGAGATTGTTTACCTCAATTGCTACGAAGTAAAGTAAAATAAAAGTTTGCTTCCTTTCTTAATAGGTGTAATACGTTGAAAATAATGTAACAGTATTACTTAAAGTCTTTTAATCTGTCAATTCTTTTTTGTTCCACCCATGCATTTTTGTCATAGATGCACAAAATCCGCAATCTAATTGTAACGAAAATCGTACAAAGCTTGAGTACATACAATCTTGGACGAAATTTTCTTATATTTTGTTTTCTTGTGGAATGGCTATTTTATCATTCTTTAATCTTACTTTACTTTGTTATATGCAATGGTATAATTTCTTCAATATTCCCTTATTTTTAATAGGACATCTTGTTGACTTAGACTGCAAGAAAGCAGTCATAAGTTTGATTAATATTAAACTAATAATTTATTATATTTATTTATTTATTTAATTATATCATCAAAACGTTACCGTTTTAAGTAACTCAGCCACCAAAACATATATACATATAGATCCACTAAGCTTTAGAAATTAAAGGGAAAACGAATTTTGTAAATTTTATGGATATCTGTTAACTCTAGCTGAAAGCAGATAAATTCTGAAACAATGCTTCTGGCTTCCTAAAAACATGAATAAATGTAAAACAGGAAGGATTGAAGACAATATAGTAAACTCTCCCTAGAATGCCAAATTTCGGGTTGCCGTGGATTTCCCTGTGCTAGTCTACGCCTATGTGATTTATTGCTACGTCGATGCTAAGGTTCGACGGAGTCGGTCAAGCGTGTAATGCGACACACGACGCGGCCCCTCTCACTCAAATTGCCCGAAGACAACACAAAATGATCTGTTTCGATGCGAGTCAGATACAAAACCGCGGAACTACAAGGTACGTGACCAATTGCAACAACCGTTGATCCTACACATTCTCCGTCGAACGCGTAGGCTTGTTCCACCGAAACTCCGTCGAATCGAGGCATGTGGCCTCCGAATTGCCGTCGAATCGATGCATGTGGCCTCCAAATTACTGTCGAACGTAGGCCCGAATAGCATAACTCCATTGATATTTTCTTTTATCCTACTTTGACGTTGCCTTTAATATCTTAATAATGAATAAATATGGTTCAAAGCATGTCGTGTTTGGTCTCATTTTAATTGGAAGAATCTGACCAATATATTAAAAAAATATATATCATGTATAAGAAATTAGAAATTAAGGCATCGTTTTTATTCTAGCACTATTGTGAATTTGTATTAATGTACACTGATGTGCTGACCGTTGGTTTTGTTTCCCAACTGCCCTGAATTTCGTTCTCTCTCTCTCTCTCTCTCTCACACACACACACACACACACATACGCGCGCGAGATGTCGGCACTATAAAGGCGATCCGCGAGGCTTGAAGAATTGCGACTTAGTGTCCTCCAATTACCGTTTTCAATTCCGAGCTCCACCTTCTAGAGAGAATTTATCGTATTTTGGAGAATTTAAGCCCTTAACTTACGATTTACGTTCGAGAATTTTGGGTCGAAAACGTAACAAACTCGCGTAGCCTTCGAGCCATTCGCATTACCCATGAGCCCAAGCATTGGGCTATTTTCGAAAACATATTGACCCAACAGCATCAAAATTAAGACCGTCAAAACCTTGTAGGGTTCGCCAAAAAAAAAAAAAAACGTAGAGAAACAACGTGGGAGTGTAAGAAGTGCGAAGTTCCCTTACATCTACCAGAATGTTTCGAATTGTATCACACCATTGCAGATTATTAATTTTGTATTACTGATTTTTGTATAAATAAACTTTTTGTAGTACTTGCATCTACCACAATTATTGCATCAGGTTGTAATTACTTATCAAATATTTCACAAATATTTATAATTTTAAAAGGGCGCCGCCGCTAATATTTATAATATATTTGGCCCAATCATCGTACTACGGGCTGTGCCCGTAATATTCACTTTTGGCCTGATCATCGTACTACGGGCTATGCCCGTAGTTGTAGGTTTAACACGTTCGCGACGGGGCCTGAATTCACTGGCCGCACCGTGGGGCGGGCTTGTTTTTCGTGCTCGATCCCATCGGGCGGGCTGAGCCCCCGGTAGTACACGAACCATTGCCGCGTTATAGCAATTGACACGTTTGCATTGGGCCTGTATTTAGTGGCTCCGCCGTGGGATGGCGCTGTTTTTCGCACTTTCTCCCATCTGACGACGCTGATTTGAAATAAATCATATGCTACGTGTTTCAACATTGTGTATCTTTTGAGAACATAAAACGATCGAAATAGAAAAACATATTTTTGTTTCTGTCGAAGCTACACCAAACTATTGTTGGTAGATCGAAAAGTATAACAAAATTAACATTCTATAGTAACTTATATAATATTTTTGCTCTGAGGTAATGTTCTATATATATCTCAATATTTAGTTGGAATACTTTTGAAGTAATCCAACGTCAGTACATAT